CGAGGCGGGGGGGACATGCCAGGAGCGGCCCGGCAGGCGACATTCCCCCCGGGGCCACGTCCCTCCGGGAGAGGTGACCTTGAACTTGGCAAAGCCCTGACGTCAGGGCCGCGCTGCGGGGCCAGATGGGACTCGTGTCGCTGCCTGCGAGCCCCAGCCAGGCACTGAGGGAAGGGAGGGGGAGGCGAGACCCCAGCCCACGTGGGGAGTAGCCCCGGGACCCCCAGTCCCAGGAGAGCAGGGCTGGTGGGGTGGGCTGCGAGGTGCCCTGGGCTGTGGAATGCTGTGGGATGTGGGATGCCCTGGGGTCTGCGATGTTCTGGGATGTGGGATCCTGTGGGATGTCGGATGCTATGGGATGTGAGATCATGTGTGATGCTGTGGGATGTAGGATGTTGTGAGATGTGGGGTGCTCAGGGATGTAGGATGCTGTGGCCTATGGAATGCCCTGGGATGTGGGATGCTGTGGGATGTGGGATGTCCTGGGCTGCGGGATGCCCTGTGCAGTGGGGTGCCACACAAAGCAGTGAGCCCGATGCGGTGCAGGGATGGTCCCAGCCCTGACTTTGAGCATGCCTGAAAGAGCAGACACGGCTGTGAACAGGCAGGCCCAGGGTGCTGGTCACAGGGGTGCTGTTTTTGGCCCCCAGTCCCGATGCCACATGCCCGGACAAAGGGGATGGTTCCTCCTGAGACCAGGGCTGCCCTGTGCTGGCCGTGCCAGCACTCTGCCTGCAGTGACAGATGAGGGACTGTCCTTAGTTAACTGCTGCAACAGTATTGACATAGCACAAGGCTCGGGGAGAGCAGGGACCGCTGCCAGCCAGGTCCTGGTGTCACCCGTCAGCCCCCGGCCGGCATAGCCCCAGGGAGACCCAGTCCCGGGGCCACTGCTTGCCTGCAGAACCAGGGCCTCATCCTGCTCCAGAGAGGGCGGCAGTGGAGTGCCGGCGATGGGAGGCGGGGGAGAGGGGGCTCCAGGAGAGAACAATGCACCGCCAGGAGCCCAGCTATTGTTGTGGGCTGCGAAGGTCACAGAGCTTCCCCAGGGAAAGGGATGGGAACATGGGAAAAGGGATAGGGCAGAGGAAGGAGTGGGGGGGACACAGTGGGCAGGGATGAGGACAGGACAGAGATGCGACAGGGATGAGGGCAGGGAAGAGGGGACAGCAATGGGGACAGAGAACAAGAGACAGGGGAAGGGACAAGGGAAAGGGAAAGGAAAAGGGGTCAATGGGAAGTGACAGGGGACACAGATGAAGACAGGGAAGAGGGACAGCAGTGGGGACAGGGAACAGGCATAGGAACAGGGAGGAAGAATAGAGACAGCAGAAAGGGGCAAGAAAAGGGGACAGGGGACAGGGATGGAGACAAGGGACAGGGGAGAGGGAAGGGGACAGGAACAGGGACAGGGATGGGGACCCCCTCCCCGCAGCCCGGTCCTTCGCAGGCCCTGGGGGCTGGCGGCAGGGAAACAAAGGCGGTGGGAGACAACGGTGTGTCCCACCCCCCACCCCCCCCATCCCCGCGTGTCCCCATTGTCCGTGGCCGGGGGCGGGGGG